AGTACTGGCTTTTGTGTTTGTACAAAATCCCATGGGGGGTATAGGGTTGGGTTACGGTATAGATGGAGAAAAAGAAGAAACAAAGGGGAATTTTGATGAATGGTTTTGTTATTGTAGAAGCTAAAAATGAGTGAATGATATTTACACCTGTTTTCTTAGCAAGCTTGCTGCAGTGCTTGAATAAGCTTCTCTTTTCGTTAAAAGGAGAACTGACAAAACACAGTTTTCATTGCATGGCCTTTTTGTTCACATCAAAAAGCATAGAGGACAAAATCATTACCGGAAAGGAAAAATAGATGAATGGAAGAGCTAAATTCTGTCCAGAAGGTACTGTACTCAGCAACATCGTACTAAATTATAAAGGGCAGGGATAAGAAACAAGAACAAAAGCGCATAAAAGAGTATACAGACAGTTCCGAGAATTCGAATTTTAATAGGACTGAAAAAGTTGGAAGATGTAGGAAGAAACATCATTTCTGAAACAAGGCTCAAATCCTTCTTCGGGACATTAGCTGTATCACAAATGAATTCTTTCTGGCAGTTTAGCTTGCCGTTTTTGAAGTGTTGTTTTTTTCTATCGATATTCATCTACGTATGGTTTATTTGAGGGAACGCTGGGTGTAATGATACTAACGAATATCAGGATTGTTTGGTTTGCGACTACGAATGCAATGTACAATGTCAGCATCCCGTATCTGCAAGCACAGGCCTGTCGAATTCGTAATTCCCGATTCGGCCTCGCGCTCGTCATCGAAACATCCGTCGTCGTAAGCTTATGAAAATTTTTCGAATGCCACTCAATTAGAGTATTGCTCAACACTATCACTTAAGCAGTTGGTGCGTGTTGTTTGAGGTCCAGTCATAGAAGCTAAAGAGTCATGATTGGCCAGTTCGTCTTCCATTCCAATTAACACTCGAATTTACTTTTAAACAAATTTTCAAGAAGATAAACAGCGGAATTGGCTGATTTTTGTTGAAGTAAAGCCAAAAAATGTGAATCGCTCTTCGAAATGGCAAAAAGCTGAGGGGTTTTCGTGACCGGAGAAGAAAAAGTCTTAATCATGAAGCGGGAAGGAGGCATGTTTGTTTGCATGTATGCTTGCATATACCGCGGAAGTCCTGCGAAAAGCCGAAAATTGTTGAAAGGAAGTACTGAGCAAGGGCAACGGACAAACGATGCAGAATGTATATGTGGGATAAAATTAAATACAAATAGTTGGTTTAGGAGGTATCATAAATGTGGGCATCGGTGGTTCAGTGGTAGAATGCTCGCCTGCCACGCGGGCGGCCCGGGTTCGATTCCCGGCCGATGCATTGTCTTACGGACAACTCTTTTTCGTTTTTGCGTGTTTATTTTAAAAGCGAAAACGCATATTGTGCAGACCCATGTGTGTGGGTGTGTGGCTGTGTGTGTGCATCTGTCTAGGTGTTTCAACTCGGGAACCACTCAAAATCTGAAAGTGCTAGTAGGTTTCTTTTCCAAGTGCTATTCCAGGAACATGGTACCAATCTTCATGTTTGTGTGTCATGCACAGCTATGTGAAGGTTTTGGGGGAAAATTGCTTACTTATGAATCATAGCAGTTAGGTCATTTTAAATAAACGACAGATTATCGGAAATTATTCATTTTCCTCCAATCCAAAATTTACGGCAATGAATGCGTAAATTAAACGTAAAGCAACAACCATTCCTGCTGTTAATGATCTGACTGCTTCAAATTTAGGAGGCTGCAACCTATTTAGCGCAAAAATGCATGATCGCAACCACAAGCTTGAAGCTTCGCCACCTACGTTGGAAACGGTTATACGTCGGAAGAGAATCGAATCTTTCGTCTTCACATCCGGATCCAACGTATTAGACCTTAGACCACTGCATCGCCGGCTGTTGTGCTCCAGATGCCTGCTTGTGCACCTATATTCTTACGTTTTGCATCACCACACATACTGTATGTCATCTGGCTGCTGCACCTGTGCAGCACCCTTTCAGTAGTTGCCGACTTTTCGTGGAACTTCGGTGAAAGCATGTATACGTATGAGCGTATGTGTTTGAGTGTTCATAGATTTACTTGCACCGATCATGCCATATTTTAAATAGGCACCAAAAGTAACTGTTTTGTGGTGTCACGTTATAATTTATTGCTTTCAAATGATATTTCTCAGTTCCATTTTTTCACAGTGATTTATTACCTCTTCGTTCCTTACTTTTAAAAATTGCACTATGATACTACCTTTGGACAGCCCACCCTCCTCGTTTAGGATGATGGATCGCCTTGGCTTTCAATCATTCGTTTTACCTTTTGGAACCTTCTTCCTTCGGTACATCTCTGAAACTCTCCAAATCACCTTCGTCCTATCTTCTCTTAATTACTTCCCTATGTCCTTTTATATTTTTATCGCATACATCTTTTTTATTGCTTTAATTTAATATGTAGGATAATTGTCACACGCACACAACTAGTCATAGTCACGCGATAGTTTTTAAAACTGGAGAACAGAGGACTAATAAAAGTAAAAAAAACATCATTTTTTTTGCCTACAACACATGGTCTTGCAGAGTGGCGAATATGTGTTAGGATTTCGCGTTGATCCAGAAGATCGGTTACAAAACGTTTGCAAAACGATACGCGTTCTTCAGAAGGCTTTTGCTACGAAACCTGTCTTTGGCGTGCAACACAGTCGTGAACGGCCAGTATGTATTGAAAGTTCCTCTATGAATTCCTAATTAATTTTCCGCTCGGATTTCTTGACGTTGAAAGTTACTTTGGCTTGCTCGC